TCGGCATTGTCAATGAGCTTTGCCAGCCTTGGCACCATCCTACAACTCGTCAAGGAGACAAGTGAAGTAAATCGTTTGACTAATTGTCTGTAAACAGTTGTTTTATCCCTCCTTCTGTCCTGGGGTATTCATCTATCATATATTCGCGTATCACCCCTTCAATATGAAAATTTCTTACTTGTTTATCTGAACCCAATTGAGGTGTGACCTTTTGACAGGATTTAGTAAGGCTGGCGTATGCGTGTTACCAAAGGCTAGAGGCAGAGTGTAGAACATGACGCCTCGAGTGGCACGGATACGGTGGCAGAGATGGTGTGAAATCACTGAACCAGGCAGCTAAGGGAGGGAACTTAAGATATTGGATCAACACTTCCAGCACAGTAGCGGATGAGGAAACCAACGGGGAGTGTGAAAAGGTCTGGCTAAATCTGGTCAAAAGGGCACACCTCAACTATGGTTAAATAAACAAGTAATAAATTGTGATATTCATGGGGGGGATACGAGGATATAGGATGGGTGAATACTCCAGAGCAAAAGGAGAGATACCACAACTGTTTAGCAGATAATTGGTTATAGTGTGGTTTGCTAAGACTGGCGAGGCTCACTGACGATGCCTGCGAAACGTCTGGGAATGTACCAAGTCCATTTGTCCGACTCTCGAAATTATCTTGCATACTATGTACTACGGACAGGGTGGGTTCCTCTAGGTCTTCCTGCCAATATGACTAATTTGTGAAAACATGGTCAAATAACTAGTAGATAATGGAAGAAGACGACGACTATACAAAAGACCACACCATTTTGGTCTTCATACCTTCGATCCCATGATTTGTTTGGCTGTCTTATGCTTGTCCTACATGCATGTATGCGAGAGAAGATGATGCAGGAAGGTGAGAAGATGTGTTCATAACATTTGTCTTTATAAGTAAAGTGGCGTATGATCATGTAATCCTGAGGCTTGTTTTGGCCTCATGGATGCATGTGCTCTGTGTGTATGCAACACTCACGAGTTAGTTGGCAATTTTGGGTGCGAAACTCAGCTTTCTTCCGTCATACAACTAAACAGACATCGCTAAACCTGGAACTAATTCTGCAAAAGCTTCAAGTTTGCAAAAGGCCAAGAAGACTATACGGTTCTATCCTACATGCTGTAGATACTCGTAAGTGAAAAAAGATCAGATACATATTAATTTCATATGAATCGGGGTACTTATGTTCACGTGTGTGTAGGTGTGTGTGTGTGTATATTGGTGTACCCATGCAAGTCAGAGTAGACAAAATGAAGGAAAGCTGGATACCGATGAGTCCCTCCATTCATACCAGTTATACCTCAGAATAATTACAAAAAAGCCAGGTTACGAAACGGCTAGTCATAATCCAAGCTATTAATTTTTAATAGCCCAAGGAAAAACATGCCTGGGCTTGTGTAATCTTGTGCGTCTGATTGGGCTGATGAGGTCCATAGACCTCTTGAATGAATGTGAATGTGGGTAAAACCATCACTAAGCGGACAGGTCGAGTCACCTTTCTTTTGGGCGGTGTTTAGCTGTGGCTTCTACGTATCTGGTTCAGGACGATGAGCCGAAGTCTTGCCACACAATCCGTTAGTCTTCATTCCTCCTAGACCTCCGGTTTCTGGTCAGATTAATTTACAGACTTCTTTTATTCGAATTTTTCTTCACCATGTTCCGTCACAAAAAGCATTAAGAAGCTCTTCGAAACTTAATTTTATTCCTAAATTGACAATCAATGTGGAAGTTAATTAGGTCGTGTCTTCAATTTTCATGCTTGCTCAAGTCCACTGGAAGTCATTTTTTCCTGATACAGATGATAATTGTATACGTAACTTAAAATAGCCGTGATAACCAAGTCTTGATGCAACCAAATACGCTTCGTACTTTATTAGACCACTCAGTTGGATAATGAAATGTAGCGACTTGTAATTGACCCTCTTCCAAAAGATACTAAGCATCGTGAAGGCCAATATCGGTCAGGCGTAATCGAGGTCCGGAATAAGCATTGTCCTGTTACGAGGAAGGAGCCACAGAGACAGAAACAGGCAACAATAGGTACAGCTAGGGACAAAGGGGCAGAAAGTGAGGGACAAAACAGAGGGATAGAGAGAGAAATATACAGAAACAGATACAAAGAGAGAAAGAGACGGTCTAAGTGGTGGTCTGGCGAGAAATAATGAGCACAATGATGTGTGATGCTTTGGTACGCTTGAACAGCGCGTAAAAATTTTATTTAAAGAGGTTGGGCCGAATGTTCGGCTTGGTCTTCGAGCACTGTACTCCTTTCTTGGGCTAATCGCGTCTAAGTAGAGCCTTAATGCTTCTGAATGTAGGCTGAGTACCAGGCATATTTTCACAAGTCTTTTATGCATGTGCTTACGTTTTGAAGGTTCATTTACTTTGTCTTTTTATCTTCCTTTTCATTGCTTGACTCTACAGGCTAAGATTTCATCAAGTAGATATAAAAATCAAGATGTTGTGGCCTCTATTTGGGTCGCAGTCTCTTTTCGATGTATAGAAGTAGTCTAACCTCGTTTTCGCAACTCGGTCGTGTTGTCAGGGCGACTTAGTTGGACGTGCCTTGCCCGATGTTATCTGTTATAGTAGATATCATAATTTTCAGCGTCGGACCGTGGATTTGGTACATTCTTAGAAATTTCGCCAGCATCGTAGCTGTCATCTCTAGTGAGTTTGCCAGTCTCAGCACCAAGCTACAATTCGCCAAAAGAGACAAGGCCGTAACCGAGTGAAATTGGTCAACCAGAAAGATAATAAACGGATCTACGGGCCCATTAAGCAGATCCGGATAGGGGGCCAGAGTCGGATCAGCCACTCGAAAGGGAAGGGGGTAAAGCATGCAGCATATAATATGACGCCGCGGTAAATTCGCCAAAGGGCACACCCCTTGAGAAGTGGGATATAAACAAGTCAGTATTAGTGATGGGGCGGAAGTAAGATAGGAGGGTGGGAAGAAAATTGATGGGCCTGGACAGTGAGGGGAGTGATAGCACAACCGTTTCGGTCAGCAGATTGGCTTCCTTTGTCTTTTTGACGAGTTGTTGTTTGGTGTTGATAAAGGCAGACTCACTGGCTATGCCGGCGTAGTATCTGAGAGTGTACCAAGTCCACGGTCCTACGCTTGGGCATATGATAATAACTATAACAGAGGACTTCCGACAAGGCGTTTTCAACTAAGTCACCATGACAACACGACCAAGTTGCAAATGCGAGGTCAAACCACTTCTTAGATTACATCACTTTATTTATTACCGTATCTTAAGTTTCACTATCTTAATCTTTTGTCCGCCTATATGGCTGCACTTGTTAACTATATTCCAATCTTTGGGTTCTCGCTGCTCCTTTGCTACTTGTCCTGCAGTGGTTGTTATCCAGCTCACTCAGACGATGTGGTGGATGGGCGAGGGAAAACAGTTTCAGCCATACATTCGTTTCAAGGTGATCGAGACATTACTCACCGACATCCATCCCTACGACACCACTATCATCCTGACGCATGCCTGGCCCGATGTGTGCATCTGCCCGGGTCAAATATTTCCCAGCCAACGCCTCCTCTTACTGACGCATTCAAGACCCTCCAGGCAGACGCTGCGGTTTTCTCAGGAGACAGTGTTTCTTACTCGCGTGAAGCGCTTTGCGAGACGGATCAGGGTAAATGCTGGCTGGAGGAGGATCACTTTTCTATCCTTATCTGTGGCAAAGTATCTTTTAAATCAAAACAGAAGCCAGTTTAAAATCCAGCTTTCGTAGACGAGCACCCTTATCATAAGACGGACAACTTCCATGCAAGTTATTATAATGAGTAAATAATATATGAGTAAGGTTTGGAATTAAAAGATAACGTTGACATGATCTCGATTTCATAGTAGTATCGTGTAGTAGTCAGTATAAACAATGAGTAACACCATTTATAGCACATTGATACCGTGGATCAGGGTGACTAGTAACTGTAATCATCTCAATTTTTAATTTTCTTATGGTGGATTTGGACAGACCAGCTTAAATATATTGAAATAAATGGGGGGGGAGTTAGTTATAGTTGCCCTTGCAGATAAGAATTACAGAAAGAAATAATATTATACTGTATTTGTATCGAATAGGATTTCTAGACTAACATTATATGTTCAATAAGAGTTTCAGATAGAGAATTTTCTCCTACAATCAGATGAGCAGGCTTCAGAATGTCACAGCATTTAACTTAGCCCTGCTTTCCAAAAGGTGTTCTCGTCCGGGCCGGAGTGCATTTCCAACCTCGCAAGCCGGAATTGAACCCAGGTTTTGCAGCGTATATTTCCAACATTTTAACGGTACGCAACATCGAATCGAAAGCCAGTCGATGAAAGGGCAAAAGTGAATTCCACAGCATGCCTAGCCTATCCCACATAGCATATTTCACATTGGGATTGTCGTTAAAACAAACATACGTTTGCCATTAAAGCCAACAGTATTACTAGTATTAGTTTTGGGTAGGATTTCGAGAATATCATAGCCTCCTGGTCATCACTGCCTCTAGCCACTAACTCAGCAACCACACTACTTCTTTAATTAGGATGCTCTTCAACCGAGGATCAATCCTAATTTAGAAAGGAAAGTTATGTGAGTACATTGATGCAAATTTTAAATGATTTTTAAACTTTTAAACTTATAAATTAAGATCTTGAAGGTCCCATGAAGGCTGGACTCAAATGTTGTCCTCAACTACGTTTACTTAACAGGGAAATGGACAAGTGGAGACGGAACGCATTATTCAGTGAGACGGCAGATTTGTCGAAAAAATATGATAAAGGGCTTAATTGTAATACTTGTGAAGAGTAAGGATTGCGATATACATAAAATATCACGATTTGTCTTTTAGCCAAACAATTCACATTTTTAAAAATTTGGCAGTTCTCAAAACAGAGTTCTTATGAATAAGTTATGCCAGTAGGTCAAC